GGTCTCTCTCTGATCTCTCTCTAGTCTCACTCTCTCTCTGCTCTCTCTCTCTAGTATCTCTGGTCTCTCTCTGATCTTTCTCTAGTCTCTCTCTCTCTGTTCTCTCTCTCTAGTATCTCTGATCTCTCTCTAGTCTACCTTTCTGTTCTCTCTCTATAATATCTCTATGGTCACTCTCTGATCTCTCTCCAGTCTCTCTCTCTGGTCTACCTCTCTAGTGTCTCTCTCTGATCTCTCTCTCGTATTTCTCTCTGATCTCGATTTGGTCTACCTTTATGTTCTCTCTTTCTTGTATTTCTCTCTAATCTCTCTTTGGTCTCTCTCTCTTTCTGTTCTCTCTCTCTAGTATCTCTCTGGTCTCTCTCTGATCTCTCTCTCGCCCGTCTATCTGGTTTACCTTTCTCTGGTCTACCTTTCTGTTATCTCTCTGGTCTCTCTCTGTAGTCAACCTCTGTTCTCTCTCTCCAGTATCTCTCTGGTCTCTCTCTGATCTCTCTCTCTCTTGTCTTTATACTGCAAACAACATCATATAACAGCGAGTATAACAGGACCATCACTTTTTAATTGCCGCATTTCCTAATACTATTATATGATCAGTGCTCAGCTAACTCCAATTTCCAATGGTAATTTTAGAAAGAGATTTTTATTGTTGACTTTTTCCCCGTAGTCTTTCCATGTGTGCGGCTCAGGGAACACTGCACTAAGCTGTTGTTTTGTCCACAAACAGACAAAGATGCACGTTTGACGTCAGTGCTGGAGAATAGTATTGAATTACAGGTATATTGACCAAATGCTATATTCCTCACACGATCATAATTATTAAGTATTGTTTATGTTTTAAGTACTGCAGCTTGCTGTAAAGCTAACGACAACTTGCATAGGCAGAATTATAGCAGTTTTTTTTCTGTTTGATGGAATTACATTTGCTGCATAGTTTTATAACTGAATACAGCCTCAGTACTGGATCTACAACCTCAGTCCTGGAGCTACAGCCTCAGGCCTGGATCTAGAGCCTCAGTCCTGGATCTACAGCCTCAGTCCTGGAGCTACAGCCTCAGGCCTGGATCTACAGCCTCAGTCCTGGATCTACAGCCTCAGTCCTGGAGCTACAGCCTCAGGCCTGGATCTAGAGCCTCAGTCCTGGATCTACAGCCTCAGTCCTGGAGCTACAGCCTCAGGCCTGGATCTAGAGCCTCAGTCCTGGATCTACAACCTCAGTCCTGGATCTACAGCCTCAGTCCTGGATCTACAGCCTCAGTCCTGGATCTACAGCCTCAGTCCTGGATCTACAGCCTCAGTCCTGGATCTACAGCCTCAGTCCTGATCTACAGCCTCAGTCCTGGATCTACAGCCTCAGTCCTGGATCTACCGCCTCAGTCCTGGATCTACAGCCTCAGTCCTGGATCTACAGCCTCAGTCCTGGATCTACAGCCTCAGTCCTGGATCTACAGCCTCAGTCCTGGATCTACAGCCTCAGTCCTGGATCTACAGCCTCAGTCCTGGATCTACAGCCTCAGTCCTGGATCTACAGCCTGTCTAAATACGGGCCTCCACTCCACTGTTATTATTTATCTTTTGAGATGTTCCTTGCCGATGCATGTCGACAGTGGTGATCTGGGACATTAATGGACATTTCCGGACATTCTGCTCCCTATGGACCCAAGGCTCATATGTGTTTGTTATTTTTGCATTTCCTGTGTTGAAACTGATGATTCTCTGATCTGTTGTTGTAGAATCGACAACTTTGAAAAGTCCTCAGAGACGACTGCTGTAGTGATTTAGGGCGATACACAAACTAATTTCATTTGATTTGAATAAAGGCCTATCTGTCACTGCAAAAGCTGCCCTCGTAACAACGACGCAAAACCAATTCAATGTGATTACAGAATCTTCCACATTCTATTTCAAAAATCATTCAACCCTTCAGGAGTTCAGTAAACAATTCCTCAGTGAATATAAATACGCCTGATCTGGCAGTAAATAGGAGATTATGAAAGACGATTGCACTATAGTATACTGCAGCATGCAAACACAGAATCGTTTTTAACCTGAATTTGAACATTTTCAGAGTAGAAGCGCGTCTCATATTTTCAGGAACTGTTCCTGATTTTAGCTCGATTCATTTCAATTTATTTTTGTACAGCCCTAAATCACAACAGTAGTTATCTGGGATGACAACGATGACTTGTATGATCATTAGTTGCATTGTATTCTGTGTTGAATTGTGAGACGGGGGTTTGGAAATAACAGGCCCCTGCTTCATCCAACCCCTCTTTCAAACATGAATTAGTAATATGTGAAATTGTGTTATACAGGTTTGAAATAAATCAAACTAACTAACTAACTTTACAAAGCCGTTTGAATTCGCCAACACAGATCAGAGAATCCAACCGTTCAAACACAAGAAATGCAATGATATAAAACACATAGAGCCATTGGTCGATAAGGGGCAGATGACCAATATCCATAAATGATCAATAAAGTTTATCTTCTTTTATCTGATCATCACCACTGTGGAGCACCCAGCAGTACACCCTGCTGCATAAATCTGAACCGCTGCCCCCTCATGTTCTGACTCAAGGCACCAGCAAGAGGCCAGTCCCTGTGCTCCTCAGAGTCTGAGTTTGTTCATATGACAGACACTAACATGTCACAGATGTACTTTGGTGTGAGGCTGTGGAGAGACTTGTGCACAAGTCTATCCTGAGCCACAGGAGCCAGTGCAGAGACTTGAGACCATTACTAATGTGATGGTACTTCCTGGTTCTAGTCAGGACTCGAGCTGCAGTGTGTTGAATATACTGTCGCTGTTTTACAGCTTGTTGGAAAGACCAGTGAGCATGATGTTAGAGTAGTCTAACCTACTGGAGACAAATTCAGGAGAAGAATCTAAATTTGATTTAGACACTATATTTTTGATTCTGGCAATATTTTTCAGGAGGTGAAAGCTGCTGAGGTTATTGAGTGTGACTGTTAGAATGTAAGTCGCACAAAAGGATGTCGTCTCAACACTGCAGCCAACATAAAGTCAAGACAGACAAGTGCAGAAAGAAATAAGAAAGGGGGGTCTCATGTGTGTGTGTGGTGTGAGCAGGAAGTCGCAGAGGAGTTGGCTATTTGCTTGTTTGAGTCCGTGCTGTGTACTGCGCGGTGTAGCTGCGGCCTGTGGTTAGGGCCAAGACCGTGAGACTCAAATTCAAATCAACTTTACACAAAACTACAACGATCTAAAGACAAAGCATAGAACTATTTTTGTCACAGCGTAGACCTGTTGAAGCTTCTCACGGTGCTATGTTCATATTGAAGTAGACCGACAGAATGGAGCCTGCCGATCTGCGACACACAACGCATACTATACCAGAGGTCTCCCATCCAGTACTAACCAGGCCTCATACTGCTGTGAATAGCTTTTTCTCTTTTTCTTTTCTTTTTCTCTTCTTCCATTTGTATCCATGAATAGTGAGAGTTTAAAGAAAGAAAGGCTGTATATTACAAGTAGAATTCCTTAGTGTAACATCACCATAGTGTTACCCTGAATATGGAGTAAGCCGATTTGAACATAAGCTTGCTGGAGCCAATTTCCCTATATGGGCATTTCCTCCATGGCATTAGCTTTGCATCGTAACAGGGGCAGACGGTTGGACAGTTTTCCTCCCTGATTGGTCATAACTGGATTTACAAAGACAATATCACAATATAAACACCAGGATCAGAGAGAGCGCTAAACTAAAGATTTTTACTCTCAAAAAGGTGAGTGTGACACAAACGAGTGTGTTGGAGAAAAACGCCCATATGCATTTCACCTTGGAGAGACCCACAAGGGGGAATGCAGTTAGAAGTTTTATTTGATTTAAGCATGTTTGGCGCCCTAGGCCCGGGAGCGATGCCTAGGATAATAGGCACTGGTGGCGGCAGAGGCTGTAGGCAAGCACGCTCCGATGAGAGAAGGAGGAGGTGGGGCGGCGGAGGCTTGCAGACTTGAGAAGGCCGGGAAGTGGGCGTCTCCGGCTTTTAACTTGCTGTCCTGGTGGTTATTGGTTGACTGGATGTGGGCGTTGCTGGTGTGATGAGCCGTGGAAGAGCAGCCTGGTCTGGGCAGCAGCAGCCGGGTCTACCACGGTGAACTTTTGCGAAAGCTCCATATTCCTACTGTGCTTCGTTGAACTAGCGGGTTAGCATTATCCATCTGTCTATAAACTCACAACTTGGGCAAAGACACATCAAAGGGTTGTATTAGCGGACTGATTATTGTACTCCTATTGGAATAATATCCATCCATCCATCCATTTTCTTCCCCTTAATCCATTTCTGGGTCGGGGGGGTGGCAGTCAGAGCTGCACCCAGTACACAGAGCACCAGACCCTCACTGATCCTCCTGCAGGTGGTGAGTCCACAGGAGCTGAGATCTTTCAGCAGGGGATTCAGGCAAAGCGGGGTTAAGTGTCTTGCCCAAGGACACAACAACAGCAGACATCAGTGGGAGTGGGAAATAATATTGATCCGTAAAAATATTGTGTTTCCCTTTTCATACCAACCAATACCATGTGGGTATTGTTGCCATACCTGCAGGTGAAAGGCAGATCCTATCATACCTCTGAAGCTAAGCAGGGCAGGGCTTGGTTGGTACTGTGATGGGAGACCATGGAACACCAGGTGCCACGGTGGGGCGTCTGCGGCTGTAAAGTTCCAAAATGTCATTGTGTTCTTAGGCAAGACACTTCACCCACGTTACCTAAGTCTATTGTGTGTGTGAATGGCTGGTGGAAGTGTACTAGTTGCTTCACTTCGGTCAGTGTGCCCCAGGGCAGCTGTGACAACAATGGCAGTTTATAATGACATGTGAAGAATCTTTGAGAGTCCAAAAAAGCGTTATATAAAAGTGATGCATTATTATTATTATTATTAAACCAAAGCTCAATGTAGTAATTATGTTTACTCGGATTTATTCAATGTTTTCTGCCTCTCTGGGTTCGCGGCTCCTGGCTTTGATCCGGTGCGCCTCAGACAGAAGCCTGCAGAGAGCACTGTGGACAAACACCGTCATCTCCCTCTCTCCCTCGCGTGACGCAGGCCGCGATAACCCCTGCCAGCGCCTTGGCACCGGCAACAGGTGGCTCCCGTGCCAAGCCGCCTGGCACCGGAGCGGCCGCGCAAAAAACCTGGTGAGGGCGCGCATTCACCGCTGAACCAACACCGCTGATTATCAATTAACATATAGCGTTTTGTGTTGGAAAGCAGTGGATTTGGGGGAGATTGTTGGCTGCGGCTGTAAAGGAAACATGGAAAATGACACAAAAGACGAGCTGGAACTGTGTAGTGTCTTTTACAATCTATTCAGCAGTAAGCACTGTCCACATTGTCCCTTTTGTGCAGTGTTTCTCAATCTGTGGTGCACGATACGTGGGCTCCTTCTGGTGGTACAAGGACTCCTCTGCAGTTCATGTAATTAAAGCTACTGTACCTAACTTTCCGCCACAACAAATTTTACTCTGAACCAGAGCAGAGAAATTGAAGGAAGCAGCTCCTCACCAGTGAATACATCACCTCAGCTGCTGTGGCCTAAGGTGCTTTTGCATTTGTTAGTCATTTTTAGAATGATGTGTTTGATTTGTTTTTATGGATGGATGTGTTTCTGCTCCTGGACACCGGCAATTCTCCTACGGAGGATCAATAAAGTATTTATCTATTCTAAAAAATAGATATCCACTAGGGTGGGAACCTAAGGGTACCTCACGATACGATACGATACTTGATACAAAGCTCACAATAACGATATTATCACGAAAACAATATCACAATAACGATATCACGATAACGATTTTATCACGATATAACGATTATCGATATATTGGTCAGAAATATACAATATGCCAATTTTTTGCATAAATAGGAGACAAAATACACTTTATTTCATGATGAATGGAATGGAGATGCGTAATGTAGCCATATATTAAGTATTGATACCAATTTTAAAAAAATATTTGTAAAAAAAAAATCGATATTGATACTTGGCAAATGCATATCGATAATCGAACCGCGGGAGAAAGTATTGCGATATATCGTAAAATCGATATATCGTCACACCCCTATACCCACAATGAGAGAATTCCTTGAAGAAGCAGCTCTATGTTCTAAGGTTGTAAAACCCCGGAACTCTCAACTATTGATGTTGCTCGTAGAGATATAATCCTGTTAGTTGTAGGTCTGAGCGCTGCTGCAGCTGTAGAAATCTGTGCATACACTGTAAAATACAGGTGCAAAGGACACTGCGCTGAGGGCAGGAGCAGGACTGAGGGCTATAGGAAGACCAGAGAGACCAGACAGAGAATAGAGAGAAACCACAGAGAGACCAGTTAGAAAAAGTAGAGAGAAACTAGCAATAGTGGTCTTGGTTTGCTGAGTGATGAGTTGTTTGATGTGAAAAGATACTACAACTTTCTCCTCACCGCAGTCATATTCTATCGAGGTAAGAGAGTTGTTCTACTAATAAACTTGCGGAATAAATAATGATCAAATCCAGCTGAAGTGTTTATGAATTTGATGTCTCTACCGCTTTTTTCTTTTCCAGAGAGGTCTATCTTCTTGACCTTTCGTCTACAGTGCATCAGAGGCATCTTCTTCTTGAACACAGTGTTGTTTTCCGTCACAGACATGTTGCTGTCTGCTGCTGGCCCCTAGTGACCAGCCCAGTGCATTGTGGGTAATGTTGACCCCTAGTGACCAGCCCAGTGCATTGTGGGTAATGTTGACCCCTAGTGACCAGCTCAGTGCATTGGGAGATGTTGAGAAGAGTACTATTAACTTACTATTAAATATGAAAAATATTTTTGATGTTAACTGGGGCCTCAAACCCTTTTGATTTATTGAGAGTGACACCAGAGAGAGACCAGAAAGAGAGCGAGACCAGAGAGCGAGACCAGAGGAGACCAGAGAGCGAGACCAGAGAGCGAGACCAGAGGAGACCAGAGAGCGAGACCAGAGAGCGAGACCAGCGAGCGAGACCAGAGAGCGAGACCAGAGAGCGAGACCAGAGAGCGAGACCAGAGAGCGAGACCAGAGAGCGAGACCAGAGAGCGAGACCAGAGGAGACCAGAGAGCGAGAACAGAGGAGACCAGAGAGCGAGACCAGAGGAGACCAGAGAGCGAGAACAGGGGAGACCAGAGAGCGAGAACAGAAAGCGAGACCAGACAGCGAGACCATAGAGCGAGACCAGAGGAGACCAGAGAGCGAGACCAGAGAGCGAGACCAGAGAGCGAGACCAGAGAGACTGTAACTGTCATGTTATTCTAGCTGTTTTTTTGTTGTTTTTTTTCATAAAAAAACAAACGTGTTTACCTCAAGTCTGATCCAACAAGAGGAGTGTGCAGAAGCTCGTGTGAGTGCGTACAGACCTTGAGCGCACATTTATGGACGCACACATCCTGGCAGCGCGCTATAAAAACACACTAATGTCGGAGGGTGAAATCTCCTGATTAATGCCATTATCAAACATATAAAGCAAATGTATCAGCGCTGGCTCTCTCACACGAATGTTCTTTCATTCCCCCACGTAGGTGTCACGACGTCTTCCCTCGCCGCTAACAGACGCTTTTAAACGGCCATTAATACGATTATTTGGATTACTAAAAAACAAATTAGTCTGCGCGTCTCGTCTGGGCACCGGGGAGAGTGCCAGCGCGCCGCTTTCGAGTGCCTCCCACGTCCAGGCACGCATTATTAGAGGATTTTAATAATGACTCGTGTCAAAACAAGCGGCGCGCAGAAGGAGATGATGGTCGTGTGAAAAGGCACAAACGACTGCTGACAAATGTGAAATTAATAAGCGGCTCCCACAAAAAATAAACATGCAACAGGCTTCGGATTAGGCGCGGGACGGGGACGTGTTTGTGTGCATCGGTGTTTGTGTGGAGTGAAGTTTTTGGGCTAGTTTAATCAAGAGAAAAAGGAAGTTATAATGTCTATAATATGTTGTGTATTATATGAGAAATGTACTCTACTATACCCTACACTACTCTACACTCATACTTGGCCCTAATCTACGCTACTCTACCCTTTTGTGTTTCCATTACACTTCAGCACGGTGGCTGAGTGGATAGCACTCTCGCTGCTCAGCAAGAAGGTCCTAGGTTCAAATCCCGGTCGGAACAGGACCTGGAGTTTGCATGTTCTCCCCGTGTCTGCGTAGGTTTCCTCCAGTTGCTCTGGTTTCCCCTACCACTAAAAACATGTACAATAGGTCTGGCAAGCGCCTCCTGTACTGGCGACCCCGCTCCCACCTCTGTGTGGAGTGAGAGGACAAGTGCCCACAATTGTGAACCGCTTTGTGACTCTGGTCTGAGAAAGGCGGTATATAAGTATATAAATAAAAAGATTACTTCAGGTACCGTATCCTAGCACCCTACCCACAACAAACCAGTAATCCTGAAAATTCCTTGCTCCCTTCCTTTCAGCAGGACTTGTCAGTTAGACCACTCTACAATTACTATTTCTATTGTTAGCTTTTTAGAACGATCAATTTATTTGGTTTTTTTGTGTGGATGGACATGTCCTATGGGGATCAATAAAGTATGTGTCTATCCATCTATTTATCCAACTTTAGTACCAGCTCGGCCTGGATAGTCCCAGGGCCAAGAAAGACTAAAGAAAGACTCAAGAAAGACCTGGTACCAGTTAAACAGGACCAGTGGAAACACAGAGGAGAGTAGAGTAGGGCTGGTGGAAACAGGGCTTATGTCACAAACTTAGAAAATCGGTCTTAAAACAGTTTTGACTGTGTAAGCCACAAAAGAAAACAACCTTGAGGTGAGTTCTGTGTGTTTCGGTGAGTCCTCTTCAAACCAGGCCTTATTGCGATGTTAGAGCGTGCTTACACCGGTGCGCTGGGGTGCTCCGGCGCTCACCTCCCATCCCCTTTATCAAATTATGAGGCCAATTAGCCGAACACAGATCGAGGAGGCGAGGCTGCGCGCTGCAAATGACTTTTCTGCCGCTGAACTCTCGCCGTCACATGAGCCAATAATTAAAATCAAATCTGGGGCCTCGTGGATCGCAACAAATAAACAATTAATGACATTAGGAAGGACAGGGCGAGTGCGTGTGTGTACATGTGTGTGTGCGGGGGGTGGGGGCGGCGGGGTCAAGCTGGGGACATGCATCTGTACAGTGTGTGTGTTTGTGTGTGTGCGCGTGTATTTGTGATTTATACAGGACTTTTTATTATATTCTATGCAAAATTGGACCAAACAGACTTCAAAGCACCACTGCACTTTCCTGTTTTGATCCGTTTTATGTTGTTATTCTTTCATCTGTGGAGCGCTATATTCCACAGCAAATTTCCCTCAGGGACAAGATTAAGATTAAGACATCCTTTATTCGTCCCACTGTGGGAAATTTCAGTGTTGCATCGCCGTCGTTACAGAGCAGTTGGAGCACACAACACAAGATTAATGAACAATAACACATACTAAAATTAAATAGAACACAATCTTGAACTTTAGCATAGGAAAGAAGCAAGTATGAAGATAGATAGATAGATAGATAGATAGATAGATAGATAGATAGATAGATAGATAGATAGATAGATAGATAGATAGATAGATAGATAGATAGATAGATAGATAGATAGATACTTTACTGATCCCTGTAGGAGAAATCCAGGTGTCCAGTAGCAGCAGAAATACGATATATTCTTGCGCAAGAATATACTGTTTTGTTTTTCTACTTGTCTGGTGCACACTGCAGACTTTTGTAAATGTATTCCAATGTGGTTTTACTGCAAATGGCAAATAAATGAATCTGAATCTGAACTGGAAGAAATATATATAGTTGTATGTATATATCTGTACGTGTTGTCAGCATAGGGACTTATAAGGTGACAGTGGACACATGTGGTTTGGCATTGCACATTCTCACATTGCTTACCTGACCTCACATGTCATCATTTGAAGTAGTGTTTGTCAATAAAGCTTAACTAAGATGTGCGTGTGTGCGTACTTGTATGAAGTAGACATTTTAAGAAAATATTTGTATGCATGCTTTTGTATTTTGTATAACTTCTTTGCACCATGAGCCAAAGCAAATTCCTAGTTTGTGACTTCCTGTTACTTATGGCAATAAAATTATTCTGATTCTGACAAGGTGTGTGTGTGTGTGCGTGTGTGTGTTGGGTAAAGACAAATTGTGCGTGATATTTAGCTGCATAGGAATTGATGTCAAGCTTGTGGATCTGCTCCACCACTGTGTTTAATGATAATATAATTTATCAATACGGCGTCTTTCTAGGCACTCAAGTTAAAAGCAATTTGTTTATAGTCAAAGAATGATGATATTATTAGTATTATTAATTACCTGTTCATGAAGTGTATGAAAACTACACAACAAATTCCACATGTTGTTTTGCTTGAAGCTGTTTTTTGTTTTTCGTGAATAAATGTAGTTTGTCCCAACAGAATGAGTCTTGTTTATGTAAGATTTTGTGAACAAATCAGACACAACATGTTGCCACTATCCTGTTAGAAAACATGTTATTGCACTTATCTGTTTTTGCAAATTAACTAATACTTAGAGACGCAATTAAATCACTGCCATGAACTTTTCAGCTCATAGATTCTGAGTGTTCAGGGCTCTAAAAATATTACAGCATAATGTTACTTCATCATTTCAAGGAAACAGCGTGAATCTCTCAGTAAATTAATATTTGATTGGGGTCAAGATGACTCCAGGATCAAATCATTTATCAGTAATGGGAAGAGCAGATGTGAATTGTTTTAATTTACCTCATAAGTGTTAGAAGTTGGCAAGTGAAGTGTAGAAGCGAGTTAGAATGGGAGCGAGGTGTACGGTCGGAGAGTTTTTTCGGAAACCTTTAAACACGACTGGATTAGACATTATATCGACATTATAAAACCTCTTTTGGTACAGATCAGTCAATAGTTCTTCAACAATTTCTTTAAAATGCCTTCTTTGACTTGAGCCTCAGTTGTCTCTCTTTCTCGGCCTTATGCGGCACAAATACAGTTCCCAGCACTCTGCTTTCATCCACATTTCCCTTTTAGCGCTCTTAATCCTCCATCAAAAGCAGCGGCATGAACAAAACGCTGATAAGACACACACTCTCCTTCACAAAAATAAATAGAGACAATAAGTGGAGTGTTCCGGAGCACGTGGGCGGATATTAACAACCTGATCTGAGCTGGATGCGCCTTTTTCTCCCATTCTCCGCTTTCTCGACAAAAACCTACACAGTTACACAAATTAAGGCGCGATGAAAGACAATGCGTTCCCCTTTTTTTTTCCTTTTTGAATAACAGAAAAACATATGGGGCTCCCGGTAATAATGCGATTTTAAATGCTTCCGGAAACTTTGCGTTAAGCGCCAACGGCGACATGAGAAAGGCGGAGGGTTGGCGTTTAGGCGTGACGAAGCCGACTTGACGGACCACGGCTGTTATTTCTTTAAGATTAGGACCCGGCTGTGAGGGGACAATGCGCCGCTTTTGTGAGAGGATTAGTGATTTTGATTTCAAATGTTGCGGACTCCGGGGAGATGGGAGATCCACACGGCTTCGAGGGTGTCTCCTGAAGGTTTTGGAAATTACTTTTGTCTTCTTGTTTTAGGTTATTAGCACTAAGACTCCCAGAATTCTGAAGCTA